ATGCCACGTCTGCTCTTCAGTGAAGAAGCTGGTTTAGAGTCTCTCAGAAAACTTTTGACTGTATTTATTTATTGTTGCAAAAAAGACGCTTTTTTATTGCTGCCCTCATTTGTCAGCTAATTATTTTTTCTTATAAAAATCCGGCCCTGGTTACATGTAATCCATTCTGTATCTTATCATGATTCCTATAGGTAAAAGTACAAGACGACCTCTAGATGTCTTTTCTTTCTATGAAAGGAGCTGCTATGTACACATGTGCACACACACACAACTGGGAATCAACAGTGAGTTTGTTCTTGCTCATGGTAGACAACAATTAAGCTTGCGTGAAGGTGGGCTAGGGGTCCTGGACTACAGACTCTGTTGCCTTGAATATAACAATACAATTTGTCATTTACTCTGCACCAGGCTAAAATGAGTAAAATCTATTTGAAGGTATCTTGTTTGTAAACATTTGTCAGATTCTAATTTTTTTCTTTTTGTATTAAAATTCAACTATGGATGTATATGAAACACAATAAATGGAGATCATTTTCTCCCACAGATGGTGTCTTTGAATGTGCGCTAATGGTCATCTGCAAGCCTTTGAGGGGAAAGGGAGGGCTGCCAGGCAGATAAAAGACAGAGCCGGCTCATCGCACCTGGGCTTGTCCAGGATAGTAGAGGCCCTCACTTTATCATTCCCAGCCCATTGTCACCACGGCAGAGAAGAGCCTTCAGGGGTGCTGGTCCTGTTGCATCAGTTGATTGTACTAATATAAAAGGTAATGTGACAAAACACACATTGCCTTCATTTGTACATCATATGAGATGCGGCAAATTATGAGTCCCAGGCAGCTACTTAGAGTTTCTGAAGGGCCTTTTTTTTAGGTGGCATCCTCGTTGTTGTATTTTTTGTTTGTTGGTTGAGTTGTTTGGGGTTTATTTTCCACATAAGAAAAAGTGGTATAAGCAGTAGGGGAAATGGAAGCAGCGGAGGAGGGTATAGTTGCATGTTTTTCCTTTCAGTGTTCAAACTTTACACTTGCACCAAGGCATTGTAACAGTAGTTTCTAGAAGACCTGCCATGGTTGGTTTATGCAGCTTTGCAAAAATTTTACTAGATTTTGCACTAATTCATACTAGCTTTGTCCCACCAAGTTCTAGAATTAATGTTTTTTAAGTGTTTCCTTCTGTTTAACATCACCCTGCTATGCAAAACCTTTCCCAGACCTTAGTTTCTTAAAAGAAAGATGTTGCTACAGTTTCCAGTTCTTTCTTATTACAGGCTCAGGTGTACAGGTTATTCTGGGTTAATTTTGTCTAATGAAGCCCATTGCTTTTTGTACATAAAAATGTCACTTAAACCTGTGCTTACAAACTAAAGAGATTAATGCTCAGTATGAAAACATGGAAACCGTTTTTGCTTAAAATATTAACATGGAAGTAATCAAATATAGGTGATTTCATCCTTTTACTTTTGAAAAATGTTACATATTGTATGCACTGTGCTGATGCAAGAATCCTACATTTTAATGAATTATAAAATTATTCTGCATCTCATCACATCACAGTATTTCTGTACTATTTATTCATATATATATATACATATATATATAGAAATATATGGGCTTAATCATTTAAAACTTGTTGCGGCAAGAACTTTCTTACCTGTAGGCAATAGATTGCTATGTTTTTAACAGATTGTGGCAAATTCTAAACAGCAATTCTTTTGTACGTAATAGGACATTTCATCCTAGAAAAATAAAGTAATGTTTTTGACATTGGATTTGGTGCAGTTTCTAATGAAACAGTGGTTGGTTGATATATTTTCTGTAGCTGTTGGCATTGCCAAATTGTACAAAAAACAGGCAAATTTCATGAGAATCTCTGACCAGGGAGATGTTAATTTCATATGTGTAATTTAGTAGTATAAAGCCTTTTGCATTTCTACCACCATATAAATACATAGACGTTTTATTATAGTTTTATCAACTACAGACAAAGCTTTAGTCTTCCAAAGGTAATTTTTGAAAAGGATACATTCTTTTAACACAAGGAGGCTCCAAAGCTGCTTTTTTATGAGTACTCTTTGACAAGCTTCTGCTGTTCAGTAAGATAGGCACATTGCAGCTATTTTGTTTTCAATAACCCAAGTAATGCACACTTGTGATACTGTTAGGATATTTGGGCCTCTTAATATATTTATTTTTACATCAATAGATTTCCTTGGCTAAAGGTATTTTCAATGCTTGTTATGTTTCATCTGCCAAATTCACAATCCTTGAAACAATTTCATGAAAAGTATTTTCATAATATTGGTAAAGCTTTTTTGCTCCTATCCAAATTCTGCAGGATTTGATTTTAATGTCCTGCAGTAGGTAAGTTTTTAAAAGTTGTGAACTTTTAGAGATATTTTCTGTAAGTAAAACAATTACCTTTTTATATTTCAAGTGGCCTGCAGTGTTTTTTAGAGAATCTGACATTTGCTGTTGTTGTACTCTACCTTCCTAGAATCTGCAAATAAAAGCTCTTTCCCTATTCTGTTCACTGCTGTTAGGCAGACTCCGTGCATCCTTGTGTGTTTCTGGTATTAAAGAGCCGACCTGGTGGCCTTTTAAATCTGCACTTACAGATTGAGCTACACAGAGCTCCGTGATTATTGCAGAACTCAGGTTTTCGTGGTTGAGGCTATAACCTATAAATCTTAGATTTGTAGTCCTTAAAATGGGAATGGCGGTATCTCATGGGCAAAGTAATGTCTTAGAAGCACTTGGACAGAGTCAGCTGAGAAGTATTTCTAGTAAGCTTTTACTGATTTCAGAGAGGGAGAGGGAGAGAAACGTCAATGATGACAGTCATTGATGGGCTGCTTCCTGCACGCCCGCTCCTGGGGACCAAGCCCACAGCCCCGGCAGGCCTGTGCCCTGATGGGGAATTGACCGGGGACCTCCTGGTTCACAAGTCAACACTTAACCGCTAAGCTATGCCAGCCGGGCTCTAATGATTATTTTTAAATCCTCACCCAAGGATATGTTTTTATTGATTTTAGAGAGAGAGAAAGGGAGAAGGAGAGAAACATCAATGTGAGAGAGAAGCGTCTATCAGTTTCCCCAGTACACTGCCTGACGGGGGATTGAACCTGAAACCTAGGTGCGTGCCCTGACCAGGGATCAAACTCGCAACCTTTTCTGGTGTATGGACGATGTTCCAGCCGACAGCCACCTGGCCCGGGCATATTTGTAGTAGTTTGAAATACTCTGAGATCCTTCTGCATACTTAGAGTAAGATGCCCAAAAAGGCATTTCTCAGATCACATCCTACCTGATCCAACTGGGACCCTCCAAATCCAACTGAAGAAATAGTCTGTGGTTTTTAAATGATAAAGTCCTGTTCCTGAAATAGAAGTTGTGCATTATATATAGATGTAAGTGGGTCAGTTTTTAGGTGTTTGCATATACATGTTTGATAAACCTTAAAGGTGTTTTAAGAGAAATACAAACACTGCTAAGAGATGTCTTTAAAAGGTAGTGAAAAGCTAGTACCAAAAAACATGTGTTTTATAGACCTTGTCCTACCAAAAGAAAACCAAGTACCTTTTTCCCTTGAATTCTAGCAGCTTAATTCGAAGGAGGGATGTGAATGAGTTGCTCTTGAGGCACTGGAGTATTTTATTGTTGAGGGACTGTTACGTGTGCACAGAGTCCTTTAGTCTTGGGAGCACAAATCCATGTGCTGAGAAAAATCTATCAATAGAACGAAAGGATTGGGAATGACAATGAGTTTGCTAATTAAGATTTTCCATAAAATTAAAGATTGTATCCAAAGTACTGACGATACTGAACAGGAGAGTTTTTTTCACCTTTTTTGCTGACCTGGAGTTCCGTCTTCACTGTCTCTTGTGCCCATCCCCATACCCACCACTGTGCAACTCATTTGAGCCTCGCTTGACTTTCATTGCTAACCTGCCTTAACTTTAAGAGGAAGTTTCTAAAAGCTGGCCTGCTTGTGTTTGCGGGGGTGTACAAACTGTGGCCTTCTAGCATCAAGCAGATCACAGTTCTGGGATATTTTGTTTCCAAAACCTCTCAGTCTAATCAAACCTGAACCTTCAGGCTCTGTAAAAGTGGTATTTTCCCCCTCTTTTAAACCAGAGCATAATTATGACCCTTTATGCTCTAACGTCTGACCATCCAACCAATAACTACCTATTTGGCCATTTCCCCCCCCCACCATGTTACTCAAGATCACTGCTTAGCCTCATGACATTTAAAAACTTGGCTTTGGCTTTTGTGACTGCTGCTGGTTACGTCTGAGTTCATTTTTATTCTATAAGCCAAGAGTTAAGGTACTAATGTAGTTGATTCCCAAGAAGCAATTCTAGTATGATTATTATGTTTGTGCAAGGCTCATTTTTAGGAAAATTCTCTAAAACTTTTTTCAGTAGTGCTTTAACCACAGAATAAGAAAACCTCTCAACTTTTACCTCTTTACCCATGTCTGGGACAAATATGATAACTGCATCTCCATCACACCCAGATGTTATATCTTAGGCTATTGCTACATGCTTCCCTCATGAAGTGTCTGGTGTCCTGTCCTGGTGGCCTGCAGTGCTGTCGAGCCACTAAGGACTGTGCGCCACTCAGACTAAAGAACTGGAGCTCACTGACTGCACCTCCTTTAAGACCTAGGAGGCGGTTTTCCCTCTGCACCTCTCCCTGTAGGCAGTAATCCTCAGTCTCGGGTTATCCGTGACTATTCAGTGTTTCAAATGAACTGAAGTACACCTTGGTCTTCTGAAAAAAAAGTTGTTAATATCTTTTGGACTCCAGTATAAAATCATATTAAATTCAGCTAGTGATTAAACCTTTTTTAACCACTAGAAAACGTTTAAAATACACGTGCTTGCAAGCTGTCATTGAATACTGATTGGTGCCAGGATTTGTGGAGTAAGTTTGGAAAAGGCTTTCTCCCAAACCTTTGGGGCTCAATGAGGCTGAAAAAACCAGGTGCATCCAAGATCCGATTTCAAGGCAAGATTTACTGCTTTACAACACAAACATCATACTTGATCTTAATAGAAAAATGACATCAGATACACCCTGAATATGTTTAGCACTGGGACAGCAGTCAGTTCAGCACAAAACATTTTTAGGAACAGAGAGGCAGGAAAATAAACTATCTTACACTTTGGTACATCAAAAACACTTGTTTGAATAATATTTTGCTTGAATTAAGCCCTTTAGTCTTCTTTGAAGTGTAAAACTTTATAACTTGTTTTGGGCTCTGACCCATCTGTTGGATCTATATGACATCATACATGTCTTTGACTAGTGCACTTACTGTTCTGTACAAAACTTAAAATGTGATGGCTTAGGTATAAAATTTGGTTTGATACGTGATACAAGCTATTCAAAGTTGTATATAAAATCCAGGAAATGTTTTTTGTGTGAACTATTTCTGAGAATGTATTGAAATTAAAATAATAAAAAATAAACAGCATGAAGCAGTGATCTGTTGACGGGACAGGTCAGCAGCTGTGTGCATAGCTCGCACTAGAATAGCTTTGCCGCCGAGCTCGGAAGCATTCTGTAAGTATGCTGACAACTTCATGATTAGAGTTGGAACTACACAACTAGTTCATATAAAGGAGCCCTGTGCCCTGTTCTAAAGGAAGGTCCCGTTACACGAAGGTAGACCTTTCCTGTCTTGATCAATCCCAAGTCTCTCATGATCCAGAAATGCCAGGATGGTAAGTTCAAATGCATTGGGTGTGAATTGCACCTTGAACTTGCACATCCCTTTTTCGGTTAAACCTTTTCACGTAGCTGCTGCTGCTCCAGAGCAGTCCATCTCCTGGTCGGAGGCGCCCTCTTAGGACCTGGAGCAGAGCTGTAGGGAGCTGCCGTCTCTTATGGTAGATGTGGCCCATCACAATATACCTGCTGCCTGGGGGGGGAAAAAATTATATATATATATATATATACACACACACACACACACACACATATATAAATTCATAGTGTCTTTTCAAAGCCATGAAACAAGAAAATGTAAGATCTTTGAGGAACGACTAAGCTTGAGTATTATCTTGCATCTCAGACATAAGACCCTCCTCAGACAACAGGTGGAAACAGACTAGTAGTGACCTTTAGAAGATAACCAGATAATCTGCCAGTAAACAGTCAACATTAGAGAGCAAGGGTCCTAATCTCAATGTATCAGGATTTTCCGGACTAGCACATCTCTAGAAAGATGTGGGAGAGGATATCCGCATCCCAACCCCCAAAATCCACTTTTCTAAATTCAGTTTAAACAGGTACCCTTATGCGTCGCGTCTGGCTACGGTGCTACATCGCGCAATTTGTCAACGCGTGTTCACTGAGTGCCTGCTTTGTGCCAATCCGGGCTGTTCCCACCTTTTACGGGAGGCGTGGAGGACGGGGAATTGTTGGGGCTCAAATCAGCGGCCAAAATAGTACCTGCCGTCTAAATTCCATTCATCTTGACTACCCCTCCCCACCAGAGGTGCTGGAGTGACCAAGAGAGACCCAGCTGTGGCGCCCAAGTTACAAACGGTGGCATAAAGTACATATAAAAGTGGTCAGTGAGACCAGTTTCAATACCAGGTTTAAATTCTGGACATGTCTTATTGCAATTGGAGGAGTCCAGGGCCAGGATGTGCACTCGGAAGAAAAAGCCGTCCGGAGTGACGTACAGGCGGTTCATCTTGTACAGCCCGTCCCGGTCCACCAGCAGCGTCACCAGCCGGATCCCTGGGCCCAGCGCGTCCACGTCGTGCACGATGCCGTTCACCGCTGCTTCCAAAAAAGAGTTTGGACAAATGCACAGCGTTCGCTTCCCTTGCTCTCCCCAATGCGACAAATCCCGACAGAGCCTCACGGGCCTGGGGCCTGCAGGACCGAGGCGGTGGGGTTCCCTAGGGTTTGGCTCGGGGCGCCCGC